GGAGGCTCCAACATTTGGGACTCCCCAGATCCATGGCAGGACAGTGAGCCAACACTGCCGTTGGACTGCATGGTTTGGTGCTTCCCACATGGTAACTTGGTGCTTTTCAAAATGGGCTCTCTGAGCAGGGGCACCCCCTGAGAACTTGTTAGAAATGCAAATCCTTCAACCCTAACTAGATCACTGAGCCAGAAATGCTGGGGGAGAGCCTAACCTACACTTTAGCAGCCCTCCTGGGGGCACTGATGCACCCCTGCAGTTTCTGGCTCAGTAACTGTGGGCGGAGCTTAACACTTGGCATTCCTATCAGATTCTCAGGTGATATGGATAGCCGGTCTGGGGACCAGAGAGGACACTGGTATAGGTCAAGGAGCTACAGGGTCAGCCGTCTAGGGTCACACGGTTAGAAGAGCTGATGCCAACCCAGACAACAGGGTCCTGAGTCTGAGGTCCTTGCGGCCACTGTCTGGGTACTTCAAAAGTTCATGGAAACATGGAAATACAGTACAAGTTCACTTTTGCAAGAAGGAGAACATCTGACATCCATGCACAACTTTTTCATAGTATACATTTTTCATGAGCTCTTTGGCCGCCCCCCCATCGTTCCTTTCTCACGAGGAATGGGAAGTGGCTGGGGATCGGAGGCAGATGAGGGTTTGATGGCGTCCAGGGGCCAAAACCATGCCAAGCTAACAGCGCATTCAAGAAGCAAGAACAAAGCACCGTCTTGCTCCTGGAGCCGAGGACATGGCGCAGGGACCAGCGGATTGTCCTCACGGGGTCACGCTGGGTTTGTTGTGCTCTGCAGCTGCAGGCTGCTTCCCGGCTCAGAGCGAATATTCTGCAAATGTCTGCTTTGGTCCCATCATATCATAACTTCAGCAAATCAAGACAAACCTCTCCTGAAGTGAAAAATAACTTGAATGTATAGTACTTGAAGGATGCCAGAGAAGTTGCTCTTTTCTGAGATGGACATATCATTGGCATTCTTGGTCATCCTGGCTCAAATATGGACCAGGTGCCAATTGATGGGAGGGACTGGAGTCTCCGGGCCTCGCTGCTCAGTTCCTAGTTCGTCATGGAAAGCAAGCGTTGCGGGACCTCAGCTGGGCTTGACCTGAGGCTCACTTCCCCTGTCTGAAAATGGCTCTCCATCTCTGCTGTCACTTCTCACAGGGCGGTGGGGAGGACCTAGTCCTCATGGTTAGTGACAGTGAAACTTGACCAAGCGCTTCGAGAGGGGCAGGAGACGGGCATCAAAACGAGACTCGCTGTGAAGACTGAGAAAGGACTGAGCTGATGAGGGGTGGGCAGGGAACGACACAGGGGTCAGCAGGTCCCCGCCGGACCGTGGACAGCGACAGCCATTTCAGCCTTGTCCCGTGTGAGGGCCTCCATTGATTCACAAGGTTTCCTGACAGGATGACGAGAAGGGAGACAGAAAGGGCCCATTCATTCATGCAGAACACCAGCCCTCGGCCCCATTGGCTCTCGCTCATGGCTCCAGGCTGGCAGGAAGGAGGGGGAAGAGGCGGACGGAGGAGGGGTAGGAATGAAAAGAAAATGATGACTGCTAGATTGCGCGAAGACAGGTGCAGCTGCACAGCCACTGCCGCAGCCGCCTTCCCGTTTTAGCCGCTAGTTAACGTCCTCGATTCAGCTCTTTTCCTCTCGTGTCATCGTCCCCTCCCCCGGGTCCTGTCTCTTTCTGGGCTCCCCCTCTCCTCCCCTTCCCATTCATGCTTCATCTCCCGTCTTCTCCAGCTCGCGGACTTCACCCTTTGTCCCTGCGCCTTCGCACACACTCCGTCCACTCTGCAGCCTCACCACCCAGTGTGCATCCTGCCGCCCCTCGGGCACCCCCCTCCACCCACTAAGGCGCCCCTAGCGTTTCCTCTCTGCTTTACTCTCACCTCTCTCGCTCCTCCACTCTGCTCCTCCACTCTGCCCTTCAGGACTGGAACCCCAGGGACGAAGGCCACCACGACCCGGTCATCCTGCCCGGCCTCCCTGGGGTACCCCAGCCACGCATTCATCCCCTCCGAGGGCAGAACGCAAGGGGCGGGGGTGGGAAGTAGCCATGAGACCCAGACGGAGGCCGGGAAGGAAACAGGAGTTATAAATAGGATAAAAGAAGATGAAAAAATGTGGAGTATTTTCTCTTTCTTTTTATTCAGCGCATCTCCAAGGAAATGTGCCACAGCTGGAGAAGCCATCGGCTGGCCCAAGTCTTCCTATCCCTTCCCTCTAACCCACTACTGCCTCCCAAAACGAGGAGAGCTGGCCCAGAGCCCAGAAATAATCCCTGCAACTCCCTCCTCAACAGCTCCGAGGCATAGCACGGGCCGGGCAGGCTCAGAGTCCTGGATCGGGGTTCTGGAGTGTCCAGGACCATGGGAGCCACAGCCTCACATTCCAGAAGGGACTGCCATTGCCCTGTGAGGAACACACCCCCGGGACTGCCTTCCATTTCTTAGTCGCAGCCGGTGGCTCCCCAGGTCACTCTAGGAATGGCTGTGGGACACCCTGGCTTCCCCTTCGTCCTAACACCATGTCTAGGCCGACCTGCCTCCTCCCAGCAACGAGGCAGCCATGGGAGGAGGACTCCGGAGCCAGCTGCGAGTCCATCAAGAACCATGGCAAGGAAGAGAGTGAAAAATCAGCAGACCTTGGGCGCTCTGGGCTTGTCCCTCAGGAAAGCGGGAAGGTGTCCCTGTGCCATGCAGAAGAGCCTTCCTGACCTGGGCTATGAGCGGGTGTGAGGCAGCGTCGGCTCTCGGTAAGGTGCAACCTGGACCGAGGAGGCGCGCCTGGTCACCCAGAGCCGGAGTGCAGGCAAGCTCACTCTAATCTCTGCTGCACAGGTGGCCACCAGGTGTGAGCCAGTGGCAGTCACAGGATTCATGAATTCAATTAATGTAGACACAACCATTTCGGCCTTTTGTTCATATACATAAAATCTATTTTGTTTCAAAGTTTTTAAAGGATTGCTTTTCCCATGCCCCGCGTCTAACCTGGGAAGAGCTGTAAGCCTTGCCAGCCCCGGCACAGTGAGTAGACAGCCAAGACACCTGTGTATGCTTAGGGCACGGGGACATGGAGCAGAAAGTCACAGCATAGATGTCACTGTGTCCACCTCCAAGGCAGGGCCAGAGACTGATGCCTACCGAGGCAAGAGAACGCGGACCTCAGGAACTGACCTGTCCTCGCGGAAACCCAGCAACTAGAAAGCGGCCCCGAGCCTTCCTGCCCCACCCGCTCCTGCCAGGCGGGCACTGACCTGAGTTCTTTGTCGCTCTCTGACAGGGGAGGGCACGGGCAGCACAGCGAACGCTCATGTCCCCCGCTCTCGGGGCAGCCCCCCAGAGTCCCGTGGGGTGCAAGGGCACCGCTGGGGCCAGACTCGGCAGCACGTATCCATCTGCCGCTCTGCGCAGAGGCCCCAGTGCCTCAGGTCCCCAATAATTGTGCAGTGAGGGGCTGAGGCAGCAGGAACACCGCGTAGCGAGTCCCTGTCTAAAACGGTAAGTGGGGCGGCCCTGTGGAGAGAGACGGCCCTCACATGGCTGACCGCAGTTCAAGTCCCAGCCCCAGCAGCTTGGAAGATGCTCCATGGATGCCCAGGGTCCCGATGGAAAGAAAGGCAGAGGGAAGGGGGTCACAGTGTGGCCGAACCCCCGGGGCACTTGCTCGCTGTCTTTCTGTTTCTCTCTGACATACACATATGTTCTCTGGCATTGAAAATAAGTAAATAAACCCCACACTCACACGCACACACGGTACTAACCCCAAGTTAGCCTCCTTTTCCAGGGACTCCCCAGAATGCCGTCCCGTGTCATTCTCACGATGTCGCACTTTCCAGCGTGAATGAGCGCCTGCCGCTCTTAGGCTGAGGCTTCAGGAGCAGGACAGACGGGGCTGGCCAGTGGGCGCTCAGGTGCATCCCTGTACCATGGACGTCCAGCCCCGTATCGGCACCAATCATGTCACATTCCCCAAACCCAAGCTGTAGACTTTGTACTTCTCAACAAATAAATAAATGAAAATAGAAACCTAGCAGGAAAAGAACAACTAGTTGGGTTTGGAAGATACGGTGACCCCTGAGAAGAAAGGAGAGGGACCAGCAGTTAGCATAATGGCTATGTCACTGGACTCCCACGTAGTCGACCGCGATTCGAGTCTCAGACCCGGTGGCTTAAACTCACGCCGTGCGCGTGTGCGTGTGTGCCCAAGATCCCGAGAGGAGAATGGAGGAGAAGGGATTGCGGAGTGACCATCTCCCCTGGGGGGTGATTTCCTGCTTTCTGTCTCTTTGTCTCTCTCTGTCTGTCTGACGCACGCACAGGCCCTATAACGCCGAAAACCTCTCCAAATAAATAAATAAATAAATAAATAAATAAATAAAATAAAAAAGGAAGAAAGGAGAAAGAAGGCAGCCTTGGACTTCGGCCCCTGGGAGGGCAGGCTCCATCTGGAGGGAGCCGCCCGAGTCTGCGCCCAGCCCCATCACCAGAGGGCAGTACCAGCACTAGCCAGGCCAGGAGGAGAAGCAGGCTGGAGGGGCGGAGTCTGTCACAGAAGGGCTGGGGACAGGGGCACAGGACAGAAGCCAGGCACAGGTGGGCAGAGAGGTTGAGAGGACGGATGGGGTGGCAGAGAGAAAAACTACATTCGGTGCGAAGGCCAGGCCACACACACACCTCCAGCCCCAGTCCCCAGCACGAGGCAGTCAGTCTTGCAGGCCCTGGTGGAGAGCCCCAGGAAGTGTCAGGAAAGGCCTAGAGGCAGAACTTCTTACTGAAGGGAGACCTGAGATCTCTCCTGGCCACCGCCTGGAGCCAAGGTCCTGCTGGAGGATCAAGTCCCCTGAAAACACTGAGCAGCCGGGACTTCCCACGAGAGAACAATAGCTTGTGTCCCCACGGAGTGACACCACTGGTGCCCAGAGCATGCTGCCCCTCGGCTCCAGCCTCACGCCCGGCTCTGGTGTGCGCGCCTACCTGAGCTGCAGTGTTCAAGGCCGGTGGGGACCTCCTGAGTGGCCGCCTCGTCCCAGAGTGGGCAGCAAGGTCTTTGCTGGCGGTAACTGGCCTGGAGAGCACAGGGCATCCGAGGGTCCTCGTAAGCGCTGGCAGGTCCCTGCCTCTGACCAGGAAAACAGAAAAGAGGGACTGCGTTAGGAGGAAAGCCTGTGTGGGGTAGCCCTGGCAGAGCTCCGGTGTCTACCAGGTACGTGGGTACCCACAGCCAGCAACACAGAACCCCCGCCCACAGCCCCACGCAGACACCGCAAAAGGGGAGGGTTTCCGGCCTGGACTGTGAGAGACGTCTTTAAAAAGTATACGAAAAATGAGTATAAAAAACTGCATGGACCTTGCAATTCTTTGCACTGAAATAAACTTGTACTTAGATTACGCCTTCCACTAACGTTTGAAGTCTCCTCGTATTTATTTATCTTCATCCATTTCTTCAAGCATCTGAGGACTGGCTTTTCTAACTAGATGAGAAGGCATGGTGTATAGCAGGGCAGAGAGCTGATCATCTCAAGGTTATACAAGCTGGCTTTAAACAAAAATTAAAATGGTAGAGTCAGCAGATGGCTGGTTAAGGTGCTGGACTCTGATGTGGCTGCCTGAGGTTCAAATCCCAGACCTGGTAGCTTGAAACTCACACCAGGTGCATGTGCATGTGTGCCAGAATCCCAGGAGGAGAAGGGGTTTGGGCATGACTATCTCTCCTGGAGGGTGTTTTGTCACTTTCTGTCTTTCTGTCTCTCTCTCTCTGATGAGAGGGCATATCCTATAGCATAAATCTCTTCAAATAAACAAATAAAAATGGCATCTCTGTAAAAACACCAGGAAAGAATATTCTTACAAGATTTATTCTAACATCGTAGAACAAAGAGGTGACAAATGCCAAAGGAAAAATAGCAAATTCGCCTACGTAATAAACCCGCGTTGTTTTTCAGATAATCGGCATTGGTCGCTAGACGGGGATCTTCCAGTTCTCCCAGCATTCAGCTGCTTGTGCCTGGGCTCTTACTACTAGAGTTCCAAAATCCGTAACATAGACCATCCACTCCGCACTCTCTAAGCAGCCAATGTGCTTCGTGGAAGGCCATGTTTACAGGGAAAGGCCCTTTCCTTGGAAGCCAGGTGTTCATAGATTCAAATCTTGGCTCCACCACTCAGTGACAGGGGCCTGCGCCTAAAGCATTTAACAAAATCACGTATTGTCTGAAATGTAACCGAGCAGGTGAAGCCTGGCCCTCAGGAAAGGTAGATGTGGTTTTAGCATGTATACCTATACAGGTAACATACATACAATGACCTGGCATCTCTGAAATCGGGCACATGAGAACGCGGAGCGAGAAGCCACAGCTGCAGAGAAGGAAGCTTTTCTGACAGTGCATGTCTAGTCTGCCCTGCCCCATCCTCAACTTCTTTTAATCTTTTTTATTTGCACGTTCTTCTCTTATAGGCCTTTCAACTCCATAAAAACCCGAAGTAAGAAAAACATAATGTGGACTGGCTCTGCGGCCTGGTGGTTAAGGCAGCTGGATCCCACATGGCCAACTCCACTGTTCGATTCCCGGACTCAGACACTTGAGAAACATGTCAAGTGCGTGTGCACGTGTGCCCAAAGTCCAAGAGAGGGGGAGACGGAGGAGAGGGATCGCGGCACGTTCATTCCCCATGGGGCTGCTTTTTCCTCTGCCTCTCTCTCTGACAAATGTATGCACCCTCCAGCTAAAAAAGAAAAAAGAAATGAATCCCGCTAAAATGTAATGTGGTTACATCTTCACAGTGTCCTGTCCACCCAGGCAGAGTGCCAGAAGAGTGTATACTGGCACGAGTTTGGGACATCTGAATCCCAAATTTGAAGACCGTGTGCATTTCGTAGAAGCTCCTTATGTCAGACTTGTTCTGTACCATGTTCGTAAACTCATTGACCCTAGGGCTGAATGGAGGTACCTAGGAGCTGCTCGCCTCCCAACTGCATGAAGGTGGAGGCTGTGGTCACACACCTGGGTCCCTGGAGACGCCCTGACTGCAGCGTACCAAAGGCTAGGTCCCTGGCCTTCTGCTCAGGGGGCCTTGAGGAGACCTCCGAGAACATAAAGGGAACAGCGGCAGGTTTGCCACCTACGTGTGTTGGGGTCGAGGGGCTCAGGGAAGCCATCGGCAAGGACACGTTTTGGAGTTCCCATTGGAAAGCGGTTCCTACATCTAACTTCAAAGCATTTGCTGGGTTTTCTGTGACAGTCAGCTCCTGAAGAAACTGCGTTCAGCACTTCCTTTGAATTCCTAACAATAAGCAGGCTTCAACAATACATTTCAACTGCCTCGGTTTAAAACACTTCCCCAGACTTGCAAATCAAGCTGTCAGCTCAGATACCCATCCCACCCTTCCATGTCCCTGCAGAGCATTTAGTCAAGAATCAGAGTGGTAGGAATGCAGTCTCGAACTGGAAAATTCTGATCTAAATAGTACGAGGAAGAGCTGTAGTTACTGCACCTGTCGTCCTTCGGGATGTTTTGCACATGGACTGCTGACAGCAAAGGTCCCTCAGAGTGGGTGTGGGCAGGGTAAGAAGGACCTTGGGAGCAGGTGGCGGGCAGAGCCTGCTAGGGCAGTGAGGACCTGAGAAGAATGTGGATTCAGATTTGAAAGTCCAGGTCCTCCCTGCAGAGCAAAGGCCCCAAGGCAAGGTGGGTGCCCAGAGGGTCCGGGAGAACGACCTGGCAATGCACAGGTCACAGAGGGGAGGGGGGGCAGGATGCCCTGGCAGTGAGACCTGAGGTCGTGGAGGCTCCAGGCAGGACAGTGGGACGGTGTGCCGCGTATGGACTCACGGCCGAGCACCGCCATCGCGGCCGGCATGGTGTTTTACAGCCTGTTCTCCGTGTGTCTCCCCTGCCTCCAATCCAGGTTCATTGTCAAAGGCATAGCTGTTCTTTTTTGTTCTTTTTTTTTCAATTTTATTTTATAAATGAAACTCTGTATTTTTAAGACAGTTCCTTTTTGCTGTCTCAATGGAGCCTGAGGATCCCATTTTTAAGAATGAGAAGATCACAATGCATCCCCAAGGCTCCCTGCTACCGGACACTCCTAGGAACTTTTACGATTCTGATATCGGGACACCTGTCTGTTCATTAGACATTTCATGAGCTGACTTATTAACTCTCACATAGAATATGAAAAGGGTATTTTTACTCAGGAGGACCACATTGCCAGTTCCCATTCATTGTGAAACTGTTGCAGTTGAGGGGAAGAAGCAGGTTATCAGCAGGTCAGAAACGGAGGCAGCACGGCCCCCACCTGCTGGCTTCGCGGGCACCACCCAGTTCAAGCTCCTGCCCCGTGTCTGTGCTGGCACCTTCTTCTCCCGGCTCCAACAGGACACACGTCAGCCCTGCGTGATGGTGCAAGCAACGCCCCTGCGCCCTGTCACAGACTTGAGGAAACCTCCAACGGTCCCCTGTCCACCCCTCGCACACCTGCTGGTGCCACCTGGCGAGCGAGGCACCTACAGAGACGGCCACTCGGCATCCTCACCGCAATCTTGCAAGATTTGTATTTCGTCTCTCTCTCTCACAAAGAGCAAACTGGGTAAGAGGGTGAGTGAATTCCTGAAGGCCACACAATTGTATGATGACGGACCGAGAACTAACCGAGGTCTGATTTCAGACTGCCCTTCTCCCCACGCCACATGGCCCTGGCATGGCTCAAGCTCAGGCAGGGCAGGCTCCTCTCCGTGAGGGCTGAGTGCCCCCTTACAGCATCGTGGGCTCATGAGCAAGGCGTGCAGCGCACCTCGCCCGTGCCGGACCTACAGCCCAGGAGCAGCCACGAGGAAACAGCGAAGCAAGCCCTTAGGAGCACACAGACAAGAAGACAGCGAACTGCAGTGAGGGGACACTCCCTTGGGCCACGAGGGCACTTGTCATGAGCGTGAGTAGGAACGATGGAAGCGCAGAGAGCCATGAGCAGCAGAGGAAGCTGGCCCTGGAGACTGTGTTAGAGCTACACAACACGGAAGACCCACGGGCCGCTCTGGAAAGGCTTCTCAGCAGCGCCAGGGCGGAAGGACCAGGCAGGGGCAGAAGCAGCGGAGGCTGACGGTCAGCAGCGAGCCCTGCAGGGTCACGCTGGGGCCCAGTGCAGAAGGAAAGTGCGGTGACCGTGAGCAGCAGACCAGTCATGAGAGAGAGCCCGGTTAGGTCCCAAGTGTGGAGGTGAAGGGCAGGCACGGGAGGTGTGTTCTAAGGGAAGAATCGACACGACCCTCTAACTAACCGGGTCCAGGGGATGGGGGGAGTCCAAGACAATACTGCAACTGCTCATGTTGTTCATGCCAGAGGGCCTGTGCGGGCGTGAGAGAGGGAAAGGCCATCTCTTTCCGTAAGGACTGGTCGTGCCGCCAGCTCTCCATCCCAGTGGGACCCTGGGCACACGCATGACGCCGGTGTGAGTTTCTTTCAAGCTGACAGGGCCAGGACTTGAACCCTTGGCCAGCACAGTGCTAAGGGGCTGGGGAAGACCATGTGCTTCTGTGACAGCAAAGATGGCACACTGCAGTGATGTACCAGGCCAGGTGGGAGACAGCGGGCACCGCGAGTGGAGGGGGTGCCCCGAGGAGCACGCAGCTGCGAGATGGAAGGAGCGAGGTAAGGCTGAGCAGCAGGAAGGTCCAGACAGGGCTACCGGGGCACAGGCCACTGCAGGGGCCAGGGAAAGGATCCAGCGGGTCTGCAGAGCTGCCACGGTCAGGAAGAAACGAGGGACAGAACCACAAAGCACCAGGGGAAGATGCGGAGGAAAAGTACGACCTCTGCCTGCTCCGTCACGCGTGACCAGGAGCCACGGGGAGCAGCAGGCGCCTCCCTTTCATCTGGGAAAGAGGCCACTGGGGGTAGAAGCCCCACCAGCCGCCTCGCTGATCACTGGAAACAGATGGAGTCTGGAGAGGACGAGGCCAGCAACACGCCTGCCCCCGCTTGGCTCTAGACAGCCAGCTCCTGCAGCCCCGCGGCCACCAGCTCCGCCTTCCTGCAGCGAGGGCTCCCTGGTTCCCAACTCCTTTTGGCTCTGCCATCACCCCTCCAGGGACTCTCGCCCTTCGCCAGCCCTGCCGCAGCTCA